ATAAAACTTTAAAGCATGACACTAGTGTGTGATATTTTTATAATAACTTAAATAGGAAGGCTGAAGAGCTGGTTTAAGCTATGCGAAAGCGTTTCCCCAAGTAGAATAAATAAATACTATATCATAGGCTGTCACCACTTCTTTTAAATAGATAAATACGTATACCAGTTAAAGAAGTAAGGCTTTTTTCGATTCATTGTTATTGTAAGGGCATTTATAACATAACATTTTACACAGTGTGTTTCGCAGTATTATTTTGCACCACGACCTATTGTCGTGTTGCTTAATTGTCAAACAGATACTGTTGTTTCCACATATATACATCAGTCAGAAATAAAACGATTTTTTATTCTAAAACCTTATCTCGAATTATCCCAGTCGCTACGCATTTATAATCCTGCACAGAGCTTGCACAGTATGGCTGCCAGTATACTTCAGTCGTTCCAGAGACAAAGACCTGTGCTTGTATAGAGATCGTTGTTTCTCTTGAAGACCCCCACTTAGCCTGTGACCCAGGCACGATATAAATAGGCAACAGAATGTAATGGTCCAGAAATAAATATACTTCGTTTAGAAAATTATAAGGTCTATTCATATTTCTATCTGTGTGCTTATCCATACATATACCTGTTAAATATGTTAGTAGAAATAATAGTAGTGTTATGTATGAACTATAACTTTCATATACAGTAAAAAAAAAAAATTCGTAAATTTACTAAAAAAGGTATATTATTATATATGTATTTATTATTTCTTTCATTAAGAGTATTGGTTATACTATTTAATATATCGAATTTCATTAATTGATAATTATATTTTTTTATTATTATGCTTTTATTATAGATTGTTTTGCATTGTTAGCTAAATTTATATATTTAGGCCTAACCTAAATCTCTTAAGCTGGCCAAACATCGAGTTATATTACAGGGATTACGGCCGAAAACATAATTAATAGAGAGGGTAGTTAACTGGTGAAACAATCTATTCTAATCTTTATAAGTAGAAACGTATGAAAGTATATTTAATTAGCTATACTAATTGTCAGGTTTATTTTTAGTTTCGCTCTAAATTCGTAGCTTGCTTTTATCGGAAGTTAATATTAGTATTATAAAATCATATTTAAGTGATGTAAGTTCCGTTTGTAAATGAACGAAACTACTTGCACTGTAATGACGAACCTAATAGTTATGATAAATATCGGGATATAACATTTTCTGACTTTGATGTTAAACTATGAGTACATTACAAGTCGCCAGAAGGCCACTGGGTCCGTCTAGTTGGTAGACGCACATCCTATAAGTTTAATAACACAGGACTGCGAATTTAAACTTCATAAAAGTTCTTTTGGTTTTAATAACGGATTTTCCTTAATTCAGCTACATAGATTACGAAAATAATATTATTATTGTTTTCTATCACGTAAGGAAGAAAAAAATATTATTTCGATGAAATTATTATTTTGTTTACCACATTGATTGTTTGTTTGTTTCTTTTGAATTTCGCGCAAAGCTATACGAGGGCTATCTGCGCTAGCCGTCCCTAATTTAGCAGCGTAAGGCTAGAGGGAATGCAGCTAGTCATCACCACCCAACTCTTGAGCTACTCTTTTACCAAGGAATAGTGGGATATAACGCCCACACGGCTGAAAGGGCGAGCATGTTTGATGGGACGGGGATTCGAACCCACGACCCGCAGATTGCGAGTCGAGCGCCCTAACCGCCAGGCCATGTTTTAGACGTATATTCTTTATTTGAAAAGGCTGCTTTTTCTACTGGTAAAATTGTATACGCGCTTAGTGGGGGTTGTGTCTTAGTTTAGGAATATATTTGCCTATTGCTATGCATTTTATACAGAGAATTTAGTTACAAATTTCCAAGACAGTCTCCAGCTGCAGCTTAACATTTTACATCTCGAGCTAATGCGATCAAACAGCCAATAGCTACACTAAATCATTATGAACCGTATCAGCTAGTTACTAGCTATGTTTATTATCATTATAATGTATAAAATTAGCTACCATATCATATAATCGTTTGCCCATAGATGAACATAAAAAAGCCAGGAAACGAGAAATAACAAACTGGGAATTTAAATACCTGCAAATAGAGATCGTAAAAAGCTGGAGATACTTTAGACATTAGTTATTCAACTGAAATCCCATATTTTGACTCCATTAAATGTAATTCTAGGTAACAGCATGGAGCCAAAATAATGAGTAAATGCTAGTCGAGCACCCTAACCACTTGGCCATGCCGGGCCTACCACAATGAACTTATTTTATTGTTATGTTTGGGTTCTAGAACGTTTGATAAGACTCTTACGTCGCGATTGGTCCAGAGAAATCTATAGCCAGTGGTTATTAACATTTTAAGCATAACAAAATGTGACCCGATTTCAATGAAAATGTAAAAGTACATACGACGTTTTGCAAAATATCTGTACATGATGGAGAAAAATGGATATTGTTTTCGGATTTAGCGTACAGGAATTACTGTAAAACAAGTAAAAATTTCAAGACAATAAAACCATCGCAGGCCTGTGTTATCATTACGCTTTCATACACAACCATGTTGTACATGGCAAAGCTCATAGTGATGTAACACCTCCTGCCATTACTGGTGCAGTGTATCTAGTGACATAGCGACCACGGCATTCTTAATGTACTGCACTGTATCTATAGTAGTGGTCATGACATTCTTAATATGCCGTGTATCTAGTTATATAGCGGCTACTGACATTTTTAATGTGCTGCAGTGTATCTATAGTAGTGGATATGATATTTTAAATGAGCTGCAGTGTATCTATCGTAGTGGATATCAGATGTTTAATGTGTAATGTATCTAATGACATAGCGACTATGACATTCTTAATGTACTGCACTGTATCTATAGTAGTGGTCATGACATTCTTAATATACTGTGTATCTAGTTATATAGCGGCTACTGACATTTTTTAATGTGCTGCAGTGTATCTATAGTAGTGGATATCAGATGTTTAATGTGCAGTGTATCTAATGACATAGCGACCACGACATTCTTAATGTACTGCACTGTATCTATAGTAGTGGTCATGGCATTCTTAATATGCTGTGTATCTAGTTATATAGCGGCTACTGACATTTTTTAATGTGCTGCAGTGTATCTATAGTAGTGGATATCAGATGTTTAATGTGCAGTGTATCTAATGACATAGCGACCACGACATTCTTAATGTACTGCACTGTATCTATAGTAGTGGTCATGGCATTCTTAATATGCTGTGTATCTAGTTATATAGCGGCTACTGACATTTTTTAATGAACCGATTCAGATCATCAGGTGAAAGTGAAGAATTTCAAATATCATTTAGAAATAAGGAGTTAATGAGATAGAATAATAACCCCTCGTATTCAATAAAAAGTCAATGAGGTAGAATAATAACCCCTTGTATTCAATTCAAAATACACTGTATATTTTTTGAAAAGAGACATTAACTACAGGGTTAAATGTGGAGGTGTGGGGCGACGAATTATTAAGAGCTTGCATGCATCAATGATGACACATTACACAGAAAACCTTTGATTCTCAAGTTGCATGTACGTCAGATTCTAGAATTCGCACGTAGCATCATACTTTTTATGGGCTCTATATCAGCCATTTAATGCCGCAGTTTGCTGTGATGAAACCTGACATTTGTATTTAACTGGCGTGTTTTGTGTGTGTTTTTTCTTCATAACCATCGTTCAAGAACGTGTAGTATGAGGCGTTTTAAAATCAAAGCCATTACTTTAAAACGACTACTGAAGAAAAAGAAGCACAGGAAATTTAAACACGACCACTTGTGTAGTTGCTTATACTAGAATTTTTTTAACAGCTGGAGACGTTTTTTGAAAGTATTGCTCAAATTTGTCATGTATTTCATGTCTCAAGTCGTAAATAAAATTGTCGTACTTGTGGATTCGCCGCAACGTTTACAGCAATGATATAAAAGATTGAAGTATGCTCCACTTCTTTACATCCAAGCTAGATATTCGTGGGATTAGGGATTTTGATAATGGCAATAAACAATAATGTTGAAATTCCTTGGCATTATTCGTTTGAAATTATTATAAAACTTGCACATCACCATATGTTTTTTCAATAGAAATCCTCCACTTGTTTTTCTGTATATTTTACATATTAACAAAAGTCTAAATACTTTTTTCTTTATAATTAGCGTAACAAATTGTTAAAGGATTTTTATGTGTTGTAGTTACTGGGATACATTCTAATTGTTTGTTTTTCTTCATTAGCTGTCATCGTTCGTTTTCTCACGAAGAGGTATATCGGAGAATACAAGTCTAATACAGGTAATAACAAAGTGCACGAAGGGGGAGTTTGTGCAATTAAATTTTTGATTAGAAATGTATCACTACTATTAAGGTAATGAAGGATAAGAAATTGTCTTCAATGAGATGTTGGTAAGAAACGGCAGATATACTCGTAGGACTGAAGCAACACTTAACAACAATTATGTAATACATCAACTATTCACACCTCAATGAAATACAACTGTTATAAAATATTCATACACCATTCATGAAACACCACTGTTATAAGCATCTATCAGATAACCACACCTTAACAAAAATAAAAAATATCCATATACCATTGAT